CTCTCCCGCTGTCCCACCAGTCACCACCAGTGGGAAGCAGAGAGTTGCTATAGCGGGAACCAAAAACCTACACACCTGCTCTTTATCTGTTCACACCTATCTCCAAGAAAATCAGTCCCAACTGTCACAGAGCTCTGTACCATATCTTGAACAGGCTTGCCCCTCTCACTCCTCAGACAGGGTAAAGGGAATCTGCTGTACTACAAGAGGGAAAGCATCCCCAGTTATAATCTGGGAAGCAGTATCTCAGAGTTAAACCACAAGAGACTGGCTATATAAGTAACAAGTTTATCTATAGGCACGATCACACAATATTTAAAACAAAACAAAACAAAAAACCCTTTCCAGATTTTTATAATGATATGAAAAGGTGTTCATTTTATACTGTTAAGGAAAACACGGTGGGGTAGGCAAAGTAGTAAACTCCAATTTAAATGACTTCCACTATGTCCTAACAAGAAAGTTCATGTGGCATTTATCAGCTCCCCCCTCCTCTTTTTTTCTTTAAATAATGTAGTGCTTGTGCAGGGACAGACAGATCAACAAGACAGAAGAGAATAGGTCACATCCAGAGGCAGACCTGAGCATATCTAAAACTCTGAAATAAGAGAGGAAGCATTACAAAATCATGAGGAAACAACCAATTCAATAAAAGGTGTTGGGATGTTTATTTTCCATAGGGAGAGAAAAACACAATTAGACTCCTATACCTCACTCTACTTTCAAAAAATAAACTCCAGATATATTTATAGTCTTGAATATGAATAACATTTTAAAACTATTAGAAAATAAAATAAAATAATGCGGGATCCCTGGGTGGCGCAGCGGTTTGGCGCCTGCCTTTGGCCCAGGGCGCGATCCTGGAGACCCGGGATCGAATCCCAGGTCGGGCTCCCGGTGCATGGAGCCTGCTTCTCATTCTGCCTGTGTCTCTGCCTCTCTCTCTCTCTCTGTGGACTATCATAAATAAATAAAAATTAAAACAAAAATTAAAATAAAATAAAATAAAATAAAATAAAATAAAATAATGCAAGTGAAGAATGAACAAAGGATATGAATCTAAAATACAAAGAAGAGGGGCGGCTGGGTACCTCATCAGTTAAGTGTCTGCCTTCGGCTCAGGTCATAATCTCAAGGTCCTGGGATTGAGCCCTACATTGGGCTCCCTGATCAGCAGGGAGTCTGCTTCTCCCTCTCCCTCTGTCCCTGACCCTGGTGTCTCTTTCTCTCAAATAAATAAACAAAATATTTTTAAAAAATAAAATTAAATACAAAGAAGAAAAACCCTGCAGAGCCAAAAAACATAAGAAAACTTGCTTAATCTTATTAAGAAACACAAATTAAAATAAAATTAGAGGGCAGCCTGGGTGGCTCAGCGGTTTAGCACCGCCTTCAGCCCAGGGCATGATCCTGGAGTCCCGGGATCGAGTCCCACGTCGGGCTCTCTGCAGGGAGCCTACTTCTCCCTCTGCCTGTGTCTCTGCCTCTCTCTCTCTCTGTGTCTCTCATGAATAAATAAATAAAATCTTTTAAAAAATAAATAAATAGAATAAAATTAGATAAGCATCAGGTTAGTAAAAATTTTAGTATGAAAAAACACAATGTTGAAGACAATATAAGAAAATGGATGAGAGGGATGCCTGGGTGGCTCAGCGGTTGGGTGCCTGCCTTTGGCTCAGGGCGTGATCCAGGCCTGGAGTCCCTGGATCGAGTCCCACATCAGGCTCCCTGCATGGAGCCTGCTTCTCCCTCTGCCTGTGTCTCTGCCATTCTCTCTCTCTCTCTCTGTCTGTCTCTCATGAATAAATAAATAAAATCTTAAAAAAAATGGATGAGAAAGGAAAATACTCATTGACTGCTTGTGGGATTATAAATTTATACCTCAGACTGTAGAATAGCTTGGTTGCATTTGGTCAAATTTAAAGTGAGCACTGCCCTATGAATCACTATGAATAACTATTCCAATTCTTGTTATGGCTGAAAGCTCACATACATGCTCATAAAGGAAATGTGTTGGAATTTTCAATGAAGCATTATGGGTAGTAGCAAATGAAAAATGTTTTTAAAGCACTCCAGATGTTCATTGTACATAAATAATGTGGTGTTACATTCCATGAAGGAGTACTACAAATACTACCCAGTGGTTAAAATGAGTGAAGTGGGTATGTGTTTATTGAAATAGCTAGATGTCAGTAACAGGCAAAGAGCAAAATGTCACAGAGTAAATTGAAACACATGCAAAACAATCTTTATGCTGTTTTCAGACACACAAATACACAGTGAAACTAGAAAAACAGACTAGATAAATAGCAGATCTGTTATAGTGGCTGCCTCTTGACAGGAGGCAGGGGTGACAGGCATCAAAGGTACAAAGGGAGGGTGCAGAAGAGAACTAGGGAGAGACTATTAGAGACTCAGTATTATAATGGTTGAAATTTTCTTTAGTCCAAAGAACTAAAATACTAACATTTGTTTAGGTGGCATTATGTGGAATTTTATTACATTATCTTCTGTACTATTCTGTAATTTGCTGGTATTATTGTTTATAATGCACAAAGAGTAGCTGAAAGGCATTATTACAAAATGGTAAGAATATTCTACTCCGGGTGAGGAGAACAAAGCTTTGTTTGTTTGTTTTTTTTGGCTGCTACTGTACTAAATTTTGAAATTTTTCAAAAAAGCATACATTGATTTTAGAATTGAGCAAAAAATCTCCTTGAACAGGAGAAAAATACAAGTGGTGATTAGATTCCATATAGTTTTGGTTCAGATAATCTACTGACAGGATTTTGAAGGTTATTTTACAAACATGCAACTTGTACTCACGCTCCTTCAGTAATGTACTCTAAAAAACAAAATATAAACCTATTGTAAGACCCCTAAACTTTTATATAAAATATTAATGTACCAATGGAGAGAACAAAACTTGCTTCTATAAACAACAATCTAGTCTCCGAGAATGCATAAAGAAAGATGCTCCATAATGGCTACAGAGTATTAATGCTTTCACCATCACCTATAGCATAAGAAAGAAAGTCTTGTAAGAAACAAATGTGATGTACATTCCAGTGTGAGTTTTTATATTCTTGTGGTTTTTATATTATTGTGGCATTTTGTGGAAAGCATTTCAAATTGGAATATAACCAGAAAATCATAAAACCTATCATTGTATTCCATTCCATCAGAAAACAAAATTGATGGGGATCCCTGGGTGGCTCAGTGGTTTAGTGCCTGCCTTCAGCCCAGGGCGTGATCCTGGAGTCCCGGGATCGAGTCCCACATCGGGCTCCCTGTGTGGAGCCTGCTTCTCCCTCTGCCTGTGCTAGTCTCTCTCATGAATAAATAAGTAAAATCTTTAAATAAAAAGAGAAAAGAAAATTGAAACTTTTAGGAGGAGATTTGGGAAAACCTGCCAGTACCCTAAGTGAGAGGGTCTGGGTTAACATTTGAAGAACTTGAGACAGAGAGGAATGGTCAGATTTTGGATACATTTTGAGGGGAGACATTTTTAGGACTTTTGGTACATTTTGTTTGGTAATGATTATGGCCTGAAAAATTTAAAGGAAGACATGATTGGAAGATGTATTTAAGTTTATACTATAAAACTCTGAAAGATACATTTAACAGAACAGAAAACAAATTATTGCTCACATTTTTCTGCATATTCTGGGCAAGATTTGCATTTGCGGTCATCAGCAACAGTGCACAGTGATGATTTAAAGAAAATAATCAGAAACTGGTATTCAAAAGAGGCAGGATAGATAATGTAGTGTCATGAGTGATGCTGTAACTAGCATCAAATAAACAGTCTTGGGCAGCCTGGGTGGCTCAGCGGTTTAGCGCCACCTTAGGCCCAGGGCATGATCCTGGACACCCAGGATCGAGTCCCACATTGGGCTCCCTGCATGGAGCCTGCTTCTCCCTCTGCCTGTGTCTCTGCCTCTTTCTGTCTCTCTCTGGGTCTCTCATGAATAAATAAATAAAATCTAAATAAATAAATAAACAAATAAATGGTCTCAGGGAACTCCAGAGGCAAGATCTACATTAATAAACTGGTTGTAAAGAGACATGGTATTACGGAGGGGAAAAAAAGGAAACGTTTATTACATGTAATAGATATTGGTCAAATAATTTAACCTCGCCAAATCTCAGTTTTCTCAGACTATGCTTGTCTCAACGGGCTGTGGTCGTCAAATACAGAGTCACTTCTATCAGCAAAAACCTCCAAGTCTACTTTGCTGGAGGGTGTAGAGAAAGAAGCCAAGTGCCAAGTTCAATGCCTGGCCATAGCGGGCATCAGTGGTATCAACTGAAATGGAAAGTTTCATTTGACGATGAAAGGAGAAAAAGAAACAGTCTAAGAAGAAGCAACCATAATGTAATGAAATAATGCACAAAAACAGAACCTTTTTTGGGGCGCCTGGGTGGCTCAGTTGGTTAGGAATCTTGGGATTGAACCCTGCATCAGTCTCCCTGTTAAGCGGGCGGGGAGTCTGCTTCTCCTACCCCACCCTCTGCCTGCCACTCTGGCTGCTTGGGCGCTCTCTCTCTCTCTCTCTCTTTCTCTCTCTCTCATTCTGTGTCAAAAATAGTTTTGAGAGGTGGTCAAGTCCACTGAAAAAAATCTGTAAAGCATTATATACGATGTCCAACAATTTAGGTACATAGATAGACTACAAGAAAAAAGCACACGAGTGAAAAGAAGATGGGTCAGAATATTAAACTGTTTTCCCCAGAATATCCTTTTACTGTTTCATACCTATTCCATCAACAGTCATTCTTATTTTGTCTCAGCTCACAAACACAAGAGGGGACTTAGAAATGGGATACCTTAACCCCAGTTAACCAATCAGGTGAGCCAAATCAACCCAGCAGTCAGCAGGGCTAAAAGCCAGAAAGCTCTTTCACAGAAAGCTCTCTCATCTATAGCATGCTACACTGGCTTTAAAATTACAGTAGCAAAGGAAATAATAACACTTAAACTTCAAAAAGCATCTTACCAGGGTGATGTCTCGAGACGCTGCAGCTGCGCTCATATGCAAACTCGGCTGCCTCACAGAACTGCTGCAATCAAGGGCTCGAGCGAATGTCCCAACAGCACTAAATAATACACAAAAACAAAGAGGAAAAATTAAGGCTCTGTTATTTTTTTATATTAAAAAAAAATACCACGCATTTTGGTAGCGCATAAAAATTGTAAAAGTCGGTGGTGAGGATGCAGGCGCCGGAAGCTGAGGTCTGAATGTGAGTCTCAACCTTGTCTCCAATAAATGTGGGGCTTTGGGCGAGATGTCCCAGTTTCTTCCTGTAAAAGATCAGTGCTGGCCAAGAAGAGCTCTACACTCGTCTCTCCGCTACAGTTCCTTTCTGGGGCAGGCAGGACTCATTTCCTTCTTGCTCTTGATGTGGTCATTCAGGGAGGATCTCCTGGAGTGGACTGCACTAGGCAATCTGCCTTGGGTACTTTAGAGATAGTGACGGTACACTGATGAAATCAAACTCTGCCTGCATCTAGCAGTCTCAGAAATTTGTCATCCCTAAGTACATCAGCCTCCAAGAGGTAATCCTCTAAATAGGCTGTAGGGAATTATTTTCCATGTTTTTTACAGTTGGGGCTCGTTTGGGGGCTCATTTTCTTTACAGGGGAAGACAAGTAAATTTATACAGGTAATTTAAAAAGGTAGCTTTCAGGTGGATATGTGCTATGGAGAAAAAAATAAAGGAAATGGAGAAGAAAAAACATCCAAGTTCTTGGATGTTTAAGAATCAAATATCAAATAAAAAGTATTTTCTCTAAGATTTAAGCATATGACAAGACATTTTACTATATATGGGTCATTATAAGGATATTCAGAAACAGTGATTTGTGTGCCACAAAGAAGGGACAGATCTATTCTAAAATACCATGGAGTAAACAATTTCCTATTCAACTGTGCTCAAAAAATAAGTAAATGAGCTGCAGAGTTTGACAATTACTGCAAAGCAAGTTCTGAAAACTTTTTAAGCTCAAATTGTGAAATCCCAATAACATTTTTTCCTTAAAATGAGGTATCATCAATTGTACCAACCTCTTCCTATGAGGGCTCAAGATATAATAGATTTCTATTAAAACAAACAAACAAACAAAAAAACCAAAAGAGAAAACAATTACAACTTTTTTTCACTTAATGATTTAGAATGCCTACCCACAGATAAAGCATGAAATGAACATAACACTTGCTGTTTATTTTATTCCCTTCTCCTTGCTGTATTTTAAGCATGTTAGCTGAAGAACTTTTTAAATGCCCCAATTAACATATAACACATGTGCATAAAAGCACACACTGTACAGCTCTGCAGTAATAGCAAAGTGAATCCTTCCATGTCACTAACACCCAGGACAAGAAACAGAACACAGCAGCATCCCAGAAGACTCCTCGTGCTCCTTTCCAATCTGTACTCTCTTCCTCTTCCCAAAAGAGAACCACCATAATCAATTCCAACACCATGGGTTAGTTTTGCTCATTTGAGATAATAAAAGTGTATACCATGCTCTTTCTACATCCAGCTTCTTCTGTTCAAAATTGTGTTTGTGGACTCACCCATGCTATTGGTTATAGCTGTGTTCATTTTCCTTGCTATGGAGCATTTCTTTGTATGATACCCCATCCCCACTCCACTCTGTTGTTGATGGAAGTCTGTGTTCCACTTTGGGGCTACTCTGGGTAGTGTCATTAATGCCATCTATACCTTTTGGTGCACAGGTGTTATGTATGCATATCTTCTCAGTATACATTCAGGAGTGAAACGTAAAGGATATGTATGTCGGATGATTGCAAAGCGGCTATACCAACTTATACTTCCACCAGCACAATGAGTAGAGTGTTAGCTGCTCCACCTCTTTACTAATGCACTATCTTTTAAAATTTAATGATTCTGGTGGGATGTACAATCATATTTGATTATGGTCTTAATTAGTATTTAGAAGGTCTTTTTTAAAACAAAAATTGAGGGATGCCTGGGTGGTTCAGTGGTTGAGTGTCTGACCTTGGCTCAGGTCATGATCCTGGGGTCCTGGGACTGAGTCCCACATCAGGCTCCCCGCAGTGAGCCTGCTTCTCCCTCTACCTGTGTCTCTCATGAATAAATAAAATCTTTTTAAAAAAATTTTAAAAAAGGTACCAGGTACATCTCTTTGGTGTCTCTCATGCTGGCTTCAAGGAAAATGGAAATGTATGGTCCTTGGCAATCAGGAAAAGGAAAAAACAGTGGAAATCAAATTTGAAACTGCAATGTCTATAATGGCCCAGATCTGAGTAACCTGTCTGGAGACTCTAGGCCAGTGATTACACCAATGATTGATTTCCGTTCCCAAATATTCAGTCTCATCTATCTATTCACTGACTTGGCTTCCCCAACAATGTACTTCAGGTCTCCATCTGATCACCAGTGGCTGCATGGGTGCTAGAGTCTGAACCCTAGCCACCAACATGATGTGATTTCTGTGGAGACAGGCACTATGAACAGTGCTAAAGGTGGGCAGAGACCCTTTTTTCCTTTGTGTTACAATAACATTTCAACAGAAAATTAGAGAACATAATGATGACCCTCTAATCATGTCTATATCTACCTGATTCTAATATTTTACCATGTTTGGTTCATTCTTTAAAGAAATATTAGAAATTTTAGAGCCTCCTATACACATTCCCAGAACTCATACATATAATATGCATATGTACTTATATGCCCATTAATGAAATAAGACATTGTTTATACATTGTAAAACTTTTTATATGTGATCATACTGTGTGTATCCTCATTTAACATTGTTTTTGAGATTTATCTGTTATATATCCCTCTAATTCATTCATTTTCATTGTTGTAAAGTAATATTCCATTACTGAATATGCTTCACTTCACTTAATCAGTTGCTTGCTGGTGTACTCTTAGTTTTGTTGCAATTTCTCACTATTTACATTACTATGATAATTTCACTTTCTGCTTTGCAGTAATTCCTCCATGAGCATTATTTACCTTTATAATTGAAAAATAAAAATAAATTTTTGTTCCATTCATTTTCTTAAAGGGGGGTGGGCAAGCCAGTCAGGCAGCCAGGCTGAAAGCTCTCAAAGGAAAGCCATATGCTTAGCAATAGGCCCTACTCATATGCAGGTGCTTTAAAAGGAATTTGAGATGCATATTATTATTATTGACACCGGAATCATCCCTGTCTAGAGTAAAAGAGATAGCTGCTTTAATTAAAGATCTGGGATTTCAGATGTTGAATTTCATCTTCATATTGTTCCTTAGTGCTTAAATTTTTACAAGAAGCATTTATTACTTATCTTAATCAGTAAAGCAATAAATCTATTTTCAAACAAAAACTAATGATTAATCATATTTAGGAAAGGATGGGATACATATTTAGGTCTTCTTACATAACTAGAAAAAGAACACAACCAATGGGAAAAGTAGAATATATACATCTACAAATTCTTTTCTAAAAAGAAAAGATACTTCTTAACTCAATAGTGCTATACTTACCGTGCTACAACTAAAAACTGGTCAATCTGTCGATCTGTAAGTGGGCTATTTGGATCCCAAACTTTAACTTCCAATTTGGACTGTTCCCTCTCATCTGATTCTCCTGTCGGAGAACAAAGGAAATGGAGTCTTGTTACTTAACAAGGATACTATCACATGTTTGACACAGCATTCACAATGTAAGGTAAATGTTAATGGCTCTGTACATTCTTTCAGACAGCAGATGGACAACATTTTGTAAAGTGAACACTGGTAATAATACAAAGTATATGAGATCTTTTAGTCAGTAACCTGTATTTCCTGAGTACCCTACAAGTGTGAAGCATGAAGTCTCATGCTGAGGGATATACAAACAAAAAAGAAAGCACTCTTGCCACAAGACACTTTCACTGAGGTAAAACTAACGCATAAGTAACTAAGATACAAACAGAAAGAAACAGATGTCATAAAGGACATACAGAAGATGTCATAAAGGACATACAGAACTGGCTGTAAGTGAGGTGCCTGGGTGCCTTGGTCAGTTAAGTGTCTGACTCGATTTCGGCTCAGGTTGTGATTTCAGGGTCATGAGATGGAGCCCCAAGTCAGGCTCCCCACTCAGCAGGGAGTCTGCTTGAGACTCTCTCCCTCTGCCCCTCTCTGTTCCCTCTCTAAAAGGAATGGAAGGAAGGAAGGAAGGAAGGAAGGAAGGAAGGAAGGAAGGAAGGAAGGAAGGAAGCTAGCTGTAAGATTCTGAGGATTAGAGAAATCACTTCAGACTAGTTAGAGAATGTCATGAAGGGGGTGGCATTTCTGCTAAGAACTGAAGGGTCTGAGGGATGCCTGGGTGGCTCAGTTGGTAAGTGTCCAAGTATTGGTTTCAGCTAAGGTCATGATCTCAGGGTCATAAGTTGAGCCCTGCATTAGGCTCCACACTCAGCACAAGTCTGCTTGGATATTCTCTCCCTCTGCTCCTCCCCCTGCTCACGCTTTCTCTCTCTCAATAAATAAAAAAAATCTTTTAAAAAACAAAACAAACAAAAAAACCCCACAAGAATTGATGGGTCTGAGTGCACCAGCAAGGAGAAGGACTTAACGTAAAAAATGAGAATGTCGGGACGCCTGGGTGGCTCAGCAGCTGAATGTCTGCCTTTGGCTCAGGGCCTGATCCCGAGCTCCGGGATCGAGTCCCACACTGGGTTCCTTGTGGGGAGCCTGCTTCTCCCTCTGCCTGTGTCTCTGGCTCTCTCTTTCTGTCTCTCATGAATAAATAAAATCTTTAAAAAAAAATGAGAAATGAAAAAAAAAAATAAGAAATGAGAATGTGAACAACGTCATGTGGCTTTAAAATGTGATAGAAAATCAGCTCATTTTGTCAGGAGCACATTAAGAGGAATGAGAAGAGAGAAGTAAGAAAAGAAGGTTACAAACATATTACTGAAGATTCTATGCAGATGTTATTTCAAGGTAATGACAAGCACTAGCCTTTTCAGTAGGAGAGCGACGAGACTAGAACCAAACTTTGTACCTCACATTTAGCAATGCTTTAGAGAGCTACCTGATGAAGACAAAATATGTACTGACAGTGGCGGCACAGAGCAAAGAAAGACTGATGTAGTGGGGAGATTTCAAGTCTTGACAACTATACTGGCAGTGGGGCACTAACAGAAAGCAGGGATGCTAGCAGAGGTGAGGGTAGAGGGGAAGACTGACAATAATGTGGGATGCTTTGTTTTAGAAATCTCTCACAAGGAGAGACAACCGTCAGGTGGGACTCAGAGAAAGGTCAGTGAAGGAAAAGAGACTTGGGAGGCAACTGGGAGTCTGATTTACAGCTATGGATTTCTAATTAGGCTGGGGGCTGGGTTTGGCTTTGTTTTACTTTTGATCACTTTATCTATAACATGAGGCAGAGTGCTTTGCACTGACTGACAACTCTAAATCTAAACATTCCTGGCGACAGACAAACCCTGGCTATGAGCTTCTCTTGTGTTCAGTCCTGGTAAAAGAGCAACCAGGGGGCAGCCGCGGTGGCCCAGCGGTTTAGTGCTGCTTTCAGCCCAGTTTAGTGCTGCTTTCAGCCCGGGGTGTGATCCTGGAGACCAGGGATCGAGTTCCACGTTGGGCTCCCTGTGTGGAGCCTGCTTCTCCCTCTGCCTGTCTCTCTTTGTCTCTCTGTCTCTCTCTGTGTCATGAATAAATAAATAAATAATCTTTTAAAAAGAGCAACCAGGTATCAGCAGCTCAATAGGAGAAAGGGCACGGGGGAGGAGGGGCAGTCTCCTAAGTCAGCCACTGCAGTCAGGGTAGGGCCTGCCCCCTGTTCAAAGGCAGGTAACCACAGAGCCAATCTCCACCCCCAACATAAAGAAGCACAAGTAGAACAGAGCCAGTACTAGGCCAAAAAGATCCCGTATTTGAAAGGATTTTATTTTTCATTGTTTGTGATTACAATTCTCAGTAGTCTAAGCCAACACATTCAACATTAGCTCAGTTAAAAACCAAGAGATTCGCAAAAGGCATGAAACTTGAGAAAGTAGAATGACACACCTATCTTCCCTGTAATCTTCGAATAATAAAACTTCAGATAAAGATAAAAAAGATAATGATAAAATGAAATCAACATTTGAAATCTATATTTTTAAATAACACAAGATGATTAAATGATGATACTATTCAGTATTAAGCCCCTGTTACACTATATACTCCAAAATGGTTAAAACTGACATTTACTTTTCAAATTCAAGTTAGTTAGGTTGATACATTTCAGTCCCATCCATATATTCTGCGACATACAACAGAAAGAGAATTCAATATAAGAATTCTGAATAAATTTGCTGCAAACAATAACAAAACATTCTTGGATGCATTCATACTGATACCTAAGATGCAGATAATACCATTGGATGAGAACAAAAACAGCAGCAGCAACAACAAAAGAATAAATACAGAAATGTTCTATATCAGTCACTCTCACTAATGAGAATTCCCCATATAATTACACTTTTATCACAGTATGATCACTTCTTCACAGGGCAAAAACTTTTAAGAAACTCTTTTATAAACCTGTTGAGAATCAAAAAAAAAAAAAAACAAAAACAACAAAAAAAAAAAACCAAACCTGTTAAGAATCCATAAAACTAAATTCTCAGCTAAGCTAGCAGTAATCTTTGGAATGGCCTTAGTATCTGTGTTATGAGCTAGAGACAAGACCAAGATTAACTTCATGATCTGATCATGTTCATTCTAGTCAACACAATAATCTCACTTCCCTCCTCCATTTATGATAATCATCTGAGCAATTCCAATCTAGTCCCACACCAGCCCATGAATCCCTGAATCCTTTTTGTTTGTTTGTTTTGAATCTCTGAATCCTTAAAATAGTATTTACCAACTAATTACATGAGTGTCTACAGTTCCTTATTTTTGCTTCATAAGTTCTTCATAATTTTGAAAAAAATGTAGATTCAGTAATGATTTAAAATGTGATAGCCCTAAACCTCCAGCTGTATTTTAAGATTTCTAGAAATTATGGACAAGAAAGAAAGAAAATAGGAACAGGAGAGAAAGGAAAGGAAAGGAAGGAAAGGAAAGGAAAGGAAAGGAAAGGAAAGGAAAGGAAAGGAAAGGAAAGGAAAGGAAAGGAAAGGAAAGGAAAGGAAAGGAAGAAGAAAGAAAAAAGAAAAGAAAAGAGAAAGAAAAATGGACAAAATACTTCCTCAGTATGACCACCTAAAGGCACATAAGGCTGCTCAAAGACTGAAGAACTAAAGCTGTATAGCACTCATCCTATAGGACCTTTCCTAGATAACTGGAAATATCCCTTGTTCTAAACACAATTCATTTTCTTTGTACCAATCACCAGAGTACTATACTTTTTTATATTAAATTCAGAAACTCACAAGGATGCCATTTGTCACTATTTTTATTTAATATTGTTCTGAAAGTTCTGGCCAATTTTTTAAGTTATGAATCAAAGGAATAATGAGTTACAAGAGACAAATAATATATGTCATTTATATGTGAGATCTAAAAACACAAAACTCATAAAAACAGAGTGGAGGGCAGCCCGGGTGGCTCAGCGGTTTAGCGCTAGCACTGCCTTCTATTCAGGGCGTGATCCTGGAGACCCAGGATCGAGTCCCACATCGGGCTCCCTGCATGGAGCCTGCTTCTCTCTCTGCCTGTGTCTCTGCCTCTCTCTCTGTGTCTCTCAGGAGAAAAAAAATAAAATCAATAAAATCTTAAAAAACAAAAAGAGTGGAATGGTGGTTACCAGGTTACCAGGGGATGGAGGGTGGGGAAATTGAGAAGATTTTGTTTAGGGATACAAACTTCTGACTAGTAGATAAGTAAGTCCTGGAGATTCAATGCACAGCATAGTGCTTACTGTCAACAATACTATAAACTTCAAAGATGGTAAGAGACTAGATCTTAATTGTTCCCACAACAAAAAAGAAGTAATTATGTGATGTGATAGCAGTGTTAGCTAAGCTATGGCAGTAATCACACTGTAATATATAAATTCATCAAATCAACACATTATACACAAACTTACACAATGTTATATGTCAATTATCTCTCAATAAATTATAAAAAAATGAGTAACTAGAAAGGCACAATAAGGGCAGCCGGGGTGGCGCAGCGGTTTGGCGCCTGCCTTTGGCCCAGGGCGTGATCCTGGAGACCCGGGATCGAATCCCACATCGGGCTCCCGGTGCATGGAGCCTGCTTCTCCATCTGCCTATGTCTCTGCCTCTCTCTCTTTCTCTCTCTGTGACTATCATAAATAAAAAAAAAATAAATAAAAAAATAAAATAAAATTCTAAGGATATCTTTTTTGTACAAGTACTCTAATAGGTTATATTTCACAAAATTTAGTTTTGGAAGCCAATAAAATGACTTGAATATTAATATCCATAAATCAGATGGGATTAGGGGCACCTGCGTAGCTCAGTGGTTGAGCATCTGCCTTTGGCTCAGGTTGTGGTCCCAGGGTCCTGGGATCAAGTCCCAGATCAGGTTCCCCACAGGGAGCCTGCTTCTCCTTCTGCCTATGTCTCTGCCTCTCTCTCTGTCTCTCATGAATAAATAAACAAAATCTTTAAAATAAATAAAAATAAA